TGACTCATATTCAGCCACATCACCAAATTATTAAGAGTACTCTGCCACCACATCAATACATTATACACAATATACTAAAAAAGTAATTTAATACTGAACTATAGAAGTAACGAGAAGTTATCATAAATAATATATTAATTCGTACCAAATGATTGTGTTCGTCGCCATTMACGAGACACGTCAATTGTATGACTAAAAACGAGACTAAAACTTTGAGGTAATCCATCACAAACCGTTTGGTGTTCATCTCAGTAGATCATCTTTGTTACACTCTAAATGAATGAGTACATAATGTTGGGAGAATTATTATTCAAAAACTAATATTATTAAACTTATTACATCAGCCAATTAAAAACGAAAAACAACTATGCCGTTTCAGAAGTCAAAACGACAATAYCTCTGCTAACGTTCAGATTATTTAATATTAAATTGAAAATTCTTTTTATCTCGATCCCCGACCGACTAAATGTTATTGATGATATTTCGTAGAACATGATGATAGTGACATGATGTACTGTGAATAGTTCGTATTTTCAATAATATAACTCTGGAAACGTAAATTTCACATGGCATAAAAAAAAATCATGACAAGGAGTATTAGTTCTATGAAGTTACCGTGGTTGCGATTAATTTCGACTGTCTGCGCGGGTTATTTCTGAACAATCTGAACGAATAATATTGTGGAACATGAAATACCTGACGTGTACCGACGTCTAACTCGATTAAAAATAAAGATAAAAATGTTTAAAGCATTAAAGCCATACGTATTACCATTGATTATAAATACTATAATTATAATCAATGGTATTACTTACTAATTATATTTAGTTTATTACCTTGAATTTATTGTTGCTACCTGTGACGGCGTTGCCCATCGCTCATGGGCCATGGTTGACTTGCATATGTTCGTCGTTTTCGTCTATTTTTTGATTTTTCCTTAGAAATGGCTTATCGTTGATAACGACACAACGATATATTACTTATTACTATGCACTGACTGGTTACAACTACCATTGATTTAATTATACAGTACTATTAATTAATAATTATGCGATTCGTTACTGAGAGAAAACAAATATCGTGCGGACATCCTCTTTTTATTAAAGTGTATTGTCATAAGTATGACAAAGTTCCAAGTAATGATACTATTGTCTTCTACTTTTGTTCAAGTTTTTCCTATCTCTAAAATAAGAAATATCTCTACTAAATTATCTCTGTGTTTATACTGTTATTACAGCTATTGGGATTATAATCCCCACAATCCCCATTATTGTCTTTTGTATACTAATCTGAATTTTTATTTTCACAATTATAAAGGYCCCTAATTCTCTATCGTATCTGTTATTACATTCTCCATTTCTCTCCCATTAAATTTTTTCCGATGTCGCTGAAGTAGGTTACTTTCACGGATGTTTCCCTCGCGGCCTCGCCGAACTATTTATTGTTTATTGTTAGTTTTTATCACGAATTCTAATATCTAGTATTATCTAGTATCGATCTTTACTATATTCYATATGCTATTATCTACTATATTATCTCTGGAATCATAAACTTGAAAGTAAAAATGTAATATTATGAGAATATGTAAGAATATATCTAGTGAATCTCAAAGGTTTTATTTTAATTTAATTTTTAAGTGAGTTATATTATAAGCATTTAAAATTGTTAAATTGTATGTAAATTTTAAAAGCAGCATTATATTTAGCTGAGTAGTTATAAATAATAAATAATTAATAGATTATTATAATATTATCTCAGTCTTATAGGTATCATTGATTTTTGTGTAGGTTAAATTTATTATTCTTCGAAAAAAGACGATAACGATCTGCGTAGTTTTAAGGTTTTAACTGCTCATTTAACCTAACCAACAGACGACAGGACAATAAATTATTTCATAAACATATTAAGATTACTGCAGACTACCACGAATTAGGATATAAATAAATTGTAATAATTCCTGATGAATGCTATGAAAAAAAWAATAATAATTTATTAGATGGACACTGGACAGTGAACAGAGTATATACGGCATACGTAAATATTATTTCATAACAATTATGATGGTTGAATATGTATTAGGTCTACGACAGAGGTATTCAAACATTTTCAGCACGCGGCTCTTTTGGGTGTTTACAATATTTTTAAGGCTCCAAAATTATTATGAAAAAATTGAAACAACACACGGATACAATATGGGAAATAWRTTATATTRTAGGTGATRATGTCGTAGGCATATAGTCAAATCAGGCATTTTATTAAATGCCTAGGCATATAGTCAAAGAATTTAATGTTATGCAATTTCACTATCCGCCTAGACATTTAATTTTAATTCATTTGACTAAATGCCTATTTCATGCCAGGCAAATAATAAAAAAACATTTTGTATTATTTTAAAAATTTAAATATATTTTCTATCAGTTATTTATTTAAACGTAATAGACGTACTAAACTAAATGATTGTACAATTCAATCGCATGTTCTGTATCTTTTTCCATAACGCCATATTTTTGTCGTTATAATCCATAAGATTATAATTTGTCTCACGGTACTCTATATAGATAAGGTTCTCATACAACCTAGTACCTACGTTAATTTTCCATGGTAAAAACCAATGGAACTTTTAATTTTATTTAATAAGAATATATAGTAGGTACTCACTACTCGACTACTCGTACTATAGATAGACTATACTGACTATATACATATAGGCTATACAATATACTCGTACTATCATTTATGTCTATCACATCTAATTATTTATTACCTGAATATATTTATGATTTCATTTTTAAAGCAATACTAAATAATACAAAATTAAACACATTATTTCATATACCTACGTGTTTTTCATATTAATAAATAATATACAGCTTTTTTTATATATAAAATAGCAATAAATAACTGATAGAAAATATATTTAAATTTTTAAAATAATACAAAATGTTTTTTCATTATTTGCCTGGCATGAAATAGGCATTTAGACATTTAGTCAAATGGCTAGTCATTTAATTAAATAACTAGGCATTTAACTAAATGTCTAGGCGGATAGTGAAATTGCATAAACATTAAATTCTTTGACTATATGCCTAAGCATTTAATAAAATGTCTGATTTGACTATATGCCTACGACAATAATAACAGTTAATTTAGTATTAGAAATAAAACTTAAAATGGTCGAATCGTAGGGTGTGACGTTTTCATTTCCATAATGATTGCAAATTATATTTATAAAATAATTATACAAGGCGTAGGTGATGTTGGTTTTCGGTGCTTTGACGCGGCTCCCTTTGCAAACTCTCACGACGCCCCTGGGAGCCGCGACGCACAGTTTAAATACCAGCTCTGGTATACGGTACATCGGTAGGTACTAGGTACTTATAACACCTACGGTGTTTTCATAGTCATCGTCAAAAACTATGGTTTAACCTAAGTTTAAATAAACTTGGTTTAATTCTTAGACCTTGGTTAAACTCGGGTTTAATAATGTATTAGTCTATGGTCTAAGTAAAGTTTATCGTTTACGAATAACAAAAAAGATAAACTGTTGTTAAACTGTTGTTAAACTACTATTAAACCATTGTTAATCCAGGTCCAACTTGACTATGAATAACACTGCTAAGGTCTAGAATAGAACTAGCCATAGCCCATAGCGTGGGACATTGCACCTACCTATTAACGTGGGCCGTGGCCATGCTTGGACGTAAAAACGGCTTTTTAGCTTCACTGACCTTACTGATATTAACATTTAAATACTTTCCTCTATTTTGCATATAATAATATTACATTTATAATAGCTGCCTACAATATACGACAATGATAGGCGACAGCCCGTATTTCTAAAATATTGTACAATTGTCTGGACATCAGCACTGCTCATAAGTCATAAATAACATTCACGATAAAAGATAATGCTATCATTAATCTGGAGAACATTGTAACCGGAGGTAGTAAAATTTTTAATGATTTTAATTCAAGTAAAGATAAACAATATGTCCAAAATATACGCAACTATATAAACAAATTACAAATAGTACAAATAAAAACAAAACCTCTAGATAACGACGTTACATATATTTTTTTCATTTTTGTTTCTATAATTTATGTTTGATTATTTTGGAAATCTCACTATCGCCTTATTTTTATTTCCGATTCAACATAAGCAAAGCTGCACAAATTCTTATTTATAATATTATAATCATTATTAAAATGTCCATGAAATCTAATAAATGTTGTTTCATTTTTGGTTTTTGTTGTATATAAATATTCTCGTAAATATTAATTACGCTACACGTTCTCCGGTACTCGCCACTTACGCGTAAGTTATTTTAAATGGGATTTGTTCCGTTTATGAAAAAAGTTATGGATTATGGTATAGTTGTATGGGGATAAAATGGTCTTAAATGTGAAAGCGCTTTAAAGGGTTTATAACACGATAAATTTTAATGTGTCAATAATATTATTTATCATATCATAAATAAATATCAAAATAGTTCTGATATTTTCAGTATATTGAACATGTCTTTAATACCATAAAGATATATTGCCTAGAGTATCTTTTGGATCTTAAGTTCTTAAGTCGAAAATCGGGTAATGGAATGCTGGAAGTGGATACTAATATACCTACTATAAATTCAAATTCAGTGGATATTGACATATTGATTGTTGGATAATATCACAAATAAGATATAAAGTATATGTTAAATCATGGTTAAAAATCAAGACATTCAACTTGCAGTTAAAGACAATAAAGTTGTCACTTGTCTTGTCGTAGACATAAATTTTAGTCCGTGATAATAATTAATATCGTGCACGGTTTAAGATATATATATATATATATATATATCTTAAACCGTGATATCGTGTATTCGTTGATAACCAAAGATTCCAAGGAGGTTGGAAACTATGGTTGGTTATTTATACCAGGGTCTCAGTTTCTCCTACCACTATTTACTATTCGCACAATCAGTATGGTTCTGGTGTGTTGATGGGGGAGGAGTGGATGACGCTCAACACAAGCGCACAACGCACAAGTCACAACACAAACAAGTAACAACAAACGCACACATTCACACTCATACAGCTGCATTGCCTACATAGTGCATACAACACGAGACATCCACAAGGGAACGACGGCGTGTGAATCCGCGTAAATGCGTAATAATCTTATCGGCTGGTGTTGTATTTTTGCGACAACTCGTCACTAGTTTTGTTGAGTGTTCAATAATAATAACTAGTAAATACCGAGTACTGTTAGTACGCCGTCGTTTCTCACATTTCGTCCGACGAGTCAATGCGTTCAAGTCCCGTTTGCCGTATTCGACGAAGAAGGTAAATATCAGTGTTTATGATTATACCTATTATAGTATTATAAAAATAGTGGTAATAACAATCGTAGGACGCGGCCACTTCTAGTCTTAAACCCTGCGCGTCCAACGTGTTTCGTGTACCTACTTGTATATTAGTGCGTCATCGGCGCCTGGAAACGCGAGAATAAACAAAATTCAACCCACGTCTGTAGCTTCGCGTTTGGGGTTTTTAGATGTAATTTGTCGAAACTGTTTCTCGCTGAATGTGCATAAAATGTGTATCTTATTGACAATAAATTGGTGTCGGAGATTAATGAGCTCACTTCTCGCTGAAGGTGACTGGCCCTAGTTTRTCGTCATTGCGTTTTTCCCGGCAAAAGAGTGATAGGATGACTCACGCTTACGGCGATCGCGTGCCCACTACCTGTTCGTKGTCCGGTGAATCACCAATACCGGTGTCCCATCGTTGTGATCATCACCATTCATCACTCATCAGTACAGTTACGTCTGTCCGGTAGTCGAGTTTCGTGTGTTTCAGCCAACATCATTGATCCTCTCCTCCCCTAATTGTTCGACATATTCTTGCTATGGCAGTTTTCAAATCGTAAGTTTCTGTTATTTATCTAAAAATTATTTTTGTCAGATTTTTATTCATTGACTGTTTTCTGACGATGGTTGTTGATGCTGCGCTTTGCAGCTTGTTCAACATTTGATGTTTGTCTGAAACCCTATTTGATGATGCATAATAAGATTTTAAATAGCAAYCTGTTAACTTGTTTTGTAAACAGCATTAGGAACTTTATTTGATTAAGCAATGGCAGATAGGTATCGCCTGACTCAAGTTTTTGAATCAACAAAGAAAAAAAACTGATTTGGGTAATCATACTATTTTTCATATAGTCAATTTGAACACTGTCTATTTCCATTTCCTAAAAAAACGTTTAAGCAGCATAGTGTGAACAATATAGCACGCCAGTTAAACAAATAATTATTGCTATGTATGTATTTTAGTGTTATCTTCGGGTCTGTGTATTATTTACTATATTTTATTACACTCCTGGATTCCTTTCAATAGCCATGTGCTAACTGTTTATGTCAATATAAACATAGATGATKGTTTTTACAGTATGATAATCAAACCGGCTTAGTACCTACACTTGTGTTACTACTATTTTGGRTACATAATATCATACTTGATAGAAGTAATATTTTATGTTTCCTCATAAGTTTATTTAAATAATTAATTAATGTAAAATTTAATCTCTGATTGTGTAATTAATAATAAATATATAAGGTATTTATTCTTAATAGCCATGCAACATGTGGCAGTGATAAATAATTATATCTAAACGGCCACYCCTCAAATCTATTATATAATCTTATTATAAAATAAAATATGAATGGATTCTATACTATCATTCTAAATGGTACATGCCTGATTAACATTTAACAGTTTAATGAGTCAATAACCTCATCTTTCCTTCATCTATACAAAATGCTACAAAACAGTATTTCCATTAGTATGTATTTAATATAGAATAATATAACCATATTATGTATTTTGGCATTTTGTGTAAACATAAATGGTAAAATTATAGGTATATATATTAATATATTTAATTAATAGATATTAAATTAAAAATTAAAAATATAAAATTGTTGTTATTCTAATAAAACAATCATTTTTAATTTAATTACTAATTATTATTTTAAAATTATACTATATACTATTATACTATAATCTTTAATGATTAAAATTATTTGTAGGCATTCAATATTCATCTAAGCAGTTGTCATTTATGATCMAACATTTCTGGTATTTAGTAATTTTTTTCAATTTTTAATATTCTATTGATTAATTAATGAGAATATTAGGTAGGTAGATACATTTTTTTTTATTTAATCATATTTTTTATTTCTAAAAATATAGTGAAGTATAAGGATAATTGTAAATTGGTAGGTAAGATAAATATTATTTTGGTGTTAAATTGAAATTGTAAATGTTTGATTTGATAATCTAATCCAACCTACCCATATATTATTGGGAACTATTAATGTTTTTATCCCAAATGATGAATAATAAAGGTATATTTCCATATCTTTTAGTTTTATTATAAAATAGGAAATTAGACAATASTACTAAAACTATTTGGATTTCATGTAAGGAGGGAGAGTATAAAATTAAAAGAGTATAACCATAATATTTTATTATTAGATAACACTATATACTGAATATAGTAATAATACTGTTTAGTGGCTTGGTGTGTTTGTATGCTCTGAGTGTATGTATCGGCTGTTTTTACTAGCTTCCTGGTGGGTGGCCACCCAGATTTTTAGCAAAGAATTCTTGCCCCGCCTCCCTCCTACAAATAGCTAATAATCATTGTTGCTAGGCCATATGATTAATAAAAAATAAAAATAATAYTATTTTTATGTATCTAAGAGGAGTTGTGATTAAATAAGACTTAATTAATTATGTTAGAAACAAGGTTAGAATACATAATATTCTACATTTATATACAGAATTTAGTCACTTAGTTTTAATAGTTTCATGTATGTTTGTTAGTTCTATGAGTTGCATGTATTTATAACACTATATCTATGATATGGTAATAAAGTAAATTTTTGAGTACCCTACCTATTCTTTGATTTTATTGCTGATGTTGACATTTTAATTTGAAGTGAAATCCAATTATTAATATATTTGTTTTTTATTCCATAAAACTAAATTAATGTATTTTCATAGTTCTCAGTGTTCATTAGAAATTTTGATTAATATGAAGTAAAAGAGAATTTTTTTTTATTTCAGTGGATGTATTCAGTGTTAAAAAAAAAAAAAAATCATAAAATGAATAATTTAACTGTTGAATCTGAAATTGAGTTAAAACAAGATCTTAAGAAACTTTCATTAGAAGAGCTTCGTAAATTGAAAGAGAAAATTGGAAATGAAGTTTACCAAAATGCTACTACTAAAAAACCAAAATTAGGTTTTTATACTAAACCGATTAAACGAGAAAACAAAAACAGACCATCTGAAATATCATCTAAAATTGACCCTTCTTTGAATCTTGTCAAAAAACATAAATCTAATATTAAAACCAAAGTTGAAGAAACTAAAAGCATTGATCCTAGATTTGATTCTCTATATGGTGAATTTGATAAACGTGTTTTTGAACGAAATTACAAATTTTTAAATGATATCAGAGAAAAAGAAAAGAAAAAGCTACAGAAAAAGTTGAAACAGAAGAGTCATGATGAAAAAAATAAGCAGGTTAAATTATTATTACAAAGAATAGAAAATCAAGATAGAGAAAAACAAAAAATGGAAGCTCAAGAAAAATTAAAATTGGAACAGAGACAAAAGAGATTGGATGTTATTAAAGATGGTAAAAAACCTCAATTTTTAAGAAAACGAGAATCAAAAATATTGCAATTGGTTGGACAATATGAAGATTTAAAATCACAAGGAAAACTCACCAAGCATATTAAACAGAAGAGGATTCGAATTATTGGGAATGAAAAGAAAACAATGTTCAACAATTCAATGGAATAATAATTATTGATTCATTAATACTTGTTAATTTTGACATTTAAATAGTTCATTGGCCAATAAAATAATATACTGCTTTCTTAAATTCATTTTACTTTATTTCTTTTAAATTATGAATAATTAATAGTTGTTATTTGATTGTCTTACAATTATTTATACTTAAATCTTACACATCATTATATCTAAATAATTTATAAAAAATATATATTATGYACTTGAATATATATTATATACGTATTACATATAAATTTAGAGAAATTAATTTTAGTTTTCCTTTATTAAAAATAAAAATTTTTATTTAATATGCATTGGATAAAATATTTCAAATATGTTTCCTTTAGCCACCTGAGCTCAAATTATTTTCCGTGTTGTATTGGTTTTTGTGTATTTTCTATAACTGGTAGGTTTACGAATATCCTCGTTTGGTAGGTATATTCTTAACAAAGAAAATTGATTTCGTAATACTTTTTATGACGCGTAATTTGACCGACGCATTACTAACCATTGCTAATCGTTTTATGTAGGTATAGTAGTCAGTTATAGTGCTTAGGTAAATATAATCGCTATGTCGAATAGATTCTTCGACATGAACGCTAGTAATTACAACCTAGTATTAACTATGACGATGTTCTTCCTTAATGTTAAATTATAATAATCAGTATTATGGTAATATATTTTTACGCGCTGTCGACCGATGATGAAAACTTTCGATGAGAACTAAAAAAATCTTTAGTAGTAACCTTGCACATCCGGTGGTTGCGCAGCCCTTTGTAATCTTGACACGTGTTTATAAGGTTTAAGCACGAGTTGTAAGGCCGGAGGGACATTAGTGAAAAACGACGAACGTCGTGTGTGGACATGTGTACGCAGTGTACTCGGGGAGGGCACTGCGTGGAAAACTCGWCCACCGTATCGTAGTAATTGTTCGCAAATTCACACACACTTGTCTCGACGTTAGATGGATCGGTGATGGCGCGTACAATTTATTTTATTCATCTTCATCGTCGTCCGCCGACAGGTTGATGCTCACGATTTGGGTGAAAAAAATCAATTGTACGCGTTTGAAAACCTTCGAAGTCATCTTTTTGGGTGTGTATGTGCATGCATGTTACTACAACGTCGGCAGTGACTGAGTTACGTGTAGTTGCCTCACGTGTGTGACGCAGCGTACGAAAACACATTATCGCGTTTGACGTTTTTCACGCTCATTTTTTTTTTCATCCAATTGCCTTCCACCGGAATGGTTTCGCCCGATGATTATTTCTTTAGTAATCTGAGGTCACGTGCGTTTCGTTRCGTTTGTTTATCTGGAAAAACGTTTTTTTTTCGTTCTAGAACAATATGATAAATTTAGATTAGAGATAAATAATAATATAATATACTATTATTTAATACACGCCTAATGGTACAGCAGCAACTGGGGCAGAGCTCTGCCACTCTGCAGCACCATTGTGTTTATATTATTATTACATGTATATAGTGTGACCGGTGTGTTCGATATTTTTTCCTCCGTGTATAATAATATTATATTATGTGCGTTTTAATTTAATGGGTTTTTATCTCCGACAACAGCCTCAGGGGTTCCCCGCCACACCCACACCCGCTCTTGCTACTGCTCGACGATGCCGTGCACCTGTGTCTGGTTGACTCGATCGTTCACTTGGCTCACGGGCACACGAACACACGATAATGTTATTATTATATAGTATTTGTTGTTATTGTYGCTCGTCGTATTAGACGTAGTAGTAGTAGTTGCGTAAAACGAATACGATATTTCGTCATCATTTGGGGATCACATGTGGTCGTGTGCCGTCGACACCAATCTTCGCAGTAGTTAACGTGTGTTCGAACTGCTGTCCTTGGTGCCTTTTTAGTATAAATATCATTATCGATTTGGAAAACGAAATAAATTTCGTCTTGAGTTGTTTCCACTAGCTTGTTAAATAACACATATCATAATATCGTTATTATAACGTATGCGTATCACAGTAGTCAAATACGTGTCGATATAAATTATAATGTRCCGATATATTTTTGATTACTAAAATCGTTATTTCAAGATGGATAATATCCGAAATTCGTAGAATATCGTACGTGTCCGCCAACAAGTCCTTATAATTATTATTGTATGTGCGTGCACACGTTACTTAATCTGTTAATCATTACTATTCGACATTTTATAGCTGGGGATTTAGGGTTCTCCTAATCTGCTTATGAGAATGTTGGGGGGGGGGCATTTATATTGAATATCGAAATCTGTATTTGCGTCTTGGTAAGACAAAATTTAATAATAAATAATAATGGCGTTGTGGGCACGAATATAATCCTGCTGACGGTGACGACGATTTTTTGTCCTCTTGGTGTGTCTGGGAACCACTTGTGATGCGTCCTGCAACTCGCACGTTGATTCCGGACAAGCACCGCACCTCTGCCCGCGCCGTTTCTATGTTTTAACCCTCCTCTCCCACCGCTGATCATCGTTTTTAATATTTTTATCGTGTCCTTTTACACTCCAATGAACAACTACTGGTTTAAATGTTTATTCTTCAGTGTTTGGTTGTGGTTGGTTATGACCTGTTGGGTCGCGGTTTTTACTTCTCTGTAGTCCAACAATGACGTCATTGGTGTTTTTTTTTCTCTAGTTGCTGCCGATACTAGTATTAACTTATCTTAATACATAATACATTCAATTTTTTTTTAGTTGAACATTTAGCGAAGAATGAGAAACAATTAACTTCCTATTCGAATTAACGAAATTTAGGTTAGTCTTGTGTTTATCTGTGTTATTTACTAATTATGTTCTCTGGTCATTACTCATTACATCCAATTATGTGCGGTTAAATTGTTAATATTTAGAAAAATATTATAATTATTACCAATATAGTAATACATGTCATTRATAATAAATTACTGACTGGTGTCTTAGTGTATGGATATTTAATTTAATGATCATTTAAAAAAGTAACTATGCAAATAAAAAATGTAATATATACCACTTAATGGGTACTACCTATATAATACATTTTAAATACAAATTACTTTCAAGTAATTAGTATATATATATAATGAAGACATTATATTATTTAGTTTTTTTATTTGTCGAAGTTTTTTAAATTATAAATWTAGTAAATTATCCCTCATTGGACTCTATATATTATCTAGATTTTTAATTTACATGTACATTGATGATAAAAATAAAATTATACCTATAGTCTTGATGATTTTTGCAATATAAATCATAATTTATATACTCATTTTATGAACTGTTGAGAATTGTTGAATTTAAATTTCTCCTTTAGCGTCTTTGTCAAAATAGTGATTGTATTTTAACATGCATCTTACATAGTTATTAGTTTCTTGTTAGTGAATTTATTTAAATAATCTTATTGTAATGCTTTCTGTTTTRCACATTTAAAATGTAAAAATTCATCTTATTAATGAAAAAATATAATTGACTTTAACTGATGCCAAATAATTTTGATTTATTTAGATCATCATGGAATCTCCACAAGAAGAGAAAGTATCGTTAGAMTTTGGCTCAATAACCAAGGAAGAAGACTATCTTTTGTCAGTATCCACTGGTTTTTATGAAGAAGAATTTGACGACGACGAAGTGTTTTTGGATGATTCACAAAGTATTGATATGGAATCATCAGAAATTCCATCACGTGTTCGTAGAACTTCAGATGTGATTGACTGTGTTGGTGGAACTATGTCTCCAGCACATATTAAACGCCATAGTTTCCCATCAGCATCTGGTGAAGTCTTATACTCAGCTACATCACTGGCTACAAAYATCACAGAGTTAAATGGATCTAGGMGAGCTGAACTTACCATAGAATCGTTTGATCAAGGCTATAGTAGTCCTGGTGCACAGTCTTCTTCATGCAGATCTTTTAAAGGAACATGGTTTAGGTTTAGTAACAGTAATGACCCTGATTCTGTTGATGCCCGGCCWACTCAAAAATCAGATGAACAACAAAATCCAAAGCCAACCCCTAATCCAAACAGGTAACAAGTAAAAATTGTAACTAAAAATAATCTATTTGTGCATTTGGTTTTATTTCAATAATATTTTATAGCAAATTGAGTCCTGGTTTTAAGAAACCAATTGTGGATATTGTAATGCCTGTTACTAAAGAYGCAACTTGTTATAATATGGATCATGAACATCGAGGTTTCGCTGTTATTATTAACAATGATGTTTTTGATACCCAGACCTTACCTGAACGGAAAGGTTCATGGAAAGATGTTGAAGAGTTGGAAAAAATGTTTTATCGTTTGGATTTTAATGTTGTGGTTTGGAATAACTTGTATCACGAAGAATTGACTCGTCATTTGAATGCATGTATGTATTATTGTACTAAATTATTTCATACTTTCCATTTAATCTTGATATAACTATTCTTATTATTTTTGTGGTACATTTTACAGTGGTCAATGATGATCATTCTCAAAATGATTGTCTTGCTATTGTGGTGTTGACACAYGGGGTCAGTTCATCATATATTTATGCCAGAGACAATCCATACCCAGTTGAATTTTTGTGGGATTCGTTTACTGCTGATAAATGTCTTACACTAGCTGGTAAACCTAAACTATTTTTTGTGCAGGTAATTGTGTAAGCTATATAATCAGATGGAAATTATTGTGTTTTCTAAGTTKGTTCTTATTTTTTATTTCAGGCATGTCGTGGTGAAAGGCTGGATCCTGGGATTACATTGAGAATAGAACCGAAGAAAACTGAAGTAGATTGTTCCACTGCCTCATACAAAATTCCTAAACATGCAGATTTCTTGATTACTTTCAGTACTTATGATGGTAAATTTTAATATTTAGACTACCAGCTTTTTATATTTGCAAAATGATTTATAAGAATTTTTTTTTAAGGTTATTATTCGTTCAGGCATCCTGAGAATGGCACATGGTTTATTCAGAGTCTTTGTATGGAAATGAACAAACATGATCTTAGCAATAATGACTTGTTAGGAATTATGACCCGTGTTTCTAGACGAGTTGCCTTGGAACATGAATCTTACAATCCAGATTACCCATGGCTACACAAGCAAAAGCAAATACCAACCATTCACTCGATGCTCATTAGAGATGTATTTTTTAAGCCTAAAAATAAACCTCCATCTGAACCAGTTGTATTGAAAAATTGTAAGTTTTGGTTTTTTATATTATCTTATAAATAAATTATGAATAACAACATGTTTCTGTAAACACTTCAATTCATAAAGAAACTTTGCTAGTTATATTTGTTGGTTATCTGAAGACAAATTGTTTATGTGAATTCAATTTATTTCATATCCGGGGTGATTTATGAAGCGTAAAACACTCATTATTTCAAAAAGTGTAAATGTTTTTGAAAATATAATTTTAATAGCTTCAAGTCGTTTACAAAACAAGGTTGTTATYAAAAATTATATTTTTACATTTTTTACCCYTATAATTTTTTAAGTATTTTACTTTTTTGAATGACWACATGTAGTTTTAATTTGATATTCCAAAACAGAAAATTTTTCTAAGTAATTTGATGTATAAAAATTGAATGTAGGGCGAGTAGTTTACGAGATATATGTATTTAAAGTTTTGATGARKGGAGTAGAGTRGTACGGGGTTATCCCGCGACATATTTGTCCACTAAACTGCTCATCTAAACTTTAAATATTTATAACTCATAAACTACTTGCCCTAAATTCAATTTTTTTGAAACTACATGTTGTCATTCAAAAAAGTAAAAAACTTTAAAAATTATAGGGATAAAAAAATGTTAAAAATATAATTTTTTT